AATACACAAGCTAGCTAGTGTATTACAGGTTGGTGGTGGTGGGGATGAGGTCTTCTATTTGCAATGATTTTTTGACTACAAAATATACGCTCTAACTCATTACTCAAACTACAGCAAAAAAAAAGCGGAACGGAAACCCGATTTTATATATTCTTACAATAGCAACGCACTTCGGGATTAACTTAGAAATGGTTCCACTACTGATGTCTTCCGCCTTACTCCTGCCACAGTAGTGGCTTGTCCTACGGAGTTCCTTTCCGCAAGTTTTTTTTAGTCAAATGACTACAAAAAGGTTACTGGCCTATGTATAGCTCCCTTAATTTACACATAAACTGACCTAAAACTGCACTGCACATATAATAAACCAATTCCCATTGAAATAAAGGTGAAGCCGTACCGCATAATTATATGATTTGATGAAACCCAACTGCTACCTGAAGTTTCTCGCCTATCGAAGTTATAATATCCGCCGGTGTCATGGCGGCTCGCACATCATAAGAATCATTGCTTTGAAAATGTAGAACGCATTAACACAAAGAAAAACTGATGGGTAACTAGTTTAGTGGTCCAGTCTTCACTATAATTTGTGATAGAATTACTTATTTAAAAAAAACTGAATGATGTAAAAATAAAAATGGTTGGAGTGCCCAAGTTTAGATTTGTCGTTGATTTCATAAAGATGTTAGGATATAGAACGTTAAATACTGTGTGATTCAACATGGCGGCCGAGGGGTTTAATATGATATAAGTACGAAATACATGTACATGTAGTACCAAATGGTTTATATGTATGAGAGTCAAGGTTTGGACTAAATGTCTTGGGGAAGTAGGGGGCGACTAGCATGTGCCTCTCTTTAGTGGACCGATGTGAGATTGCCCATTGTATTAACTGGACGGGTAGGCCTATTCACCTTCAGTTATGTGTCAATGTCAAATAAGCGGCTTCGTATCAACACGGTCGGCTCTGGGCCGGTTTAATTCTACGTATCTCTCGTAGCTGAGAGAAAAAAGATTTTTTAGCCCAGAGAATATCTTCCGTCAGAGTGGTTGTTGATTCATAGATTCTAATAACCCCTTTTGAAGTTTATATGAAAGCTTTGATATCTGCTATGCAGATCTAGTTATTATTTTTTTTATTGGGGGAAGCTAGATCTCAGCAACTATAAGAGATAGAGGTTTGAAAATTGATTTTCTGTCGGAAAAGTGGTGTGCAGCTACTGCTTAAAGCTATTTCGAAATTTGTGCCATTATTCTCTTAATTCTCAATGGATTCTTCAGATATTTACATTTTTGGATAGCTGGAGACATTTCTGAGCAGATAGCAGTTCAAAACTGTGGGAATTAGAAACTTTGTCGCTCTAATTTTTTTGGTGAAAAATGGAAAAATTTCTAAATTTTCTAAATTTTTTATTTTTGGGAATTTTGAAATTTCAGTTATATTTTTGGATAGCTGACATCAATCCGATTCCAACAATATAAGTTTTGTTCTGAAATATTGACTTTGATTTTTCACTGTTTTTCGCATTTTGGTCAAATCGTAGAGTTCTTATTTTTTTAAAACGGCTCTAACGATTTTTCTGAAACTTCAGGAATATGAAGTCGAAGGACCAGACCAGTCCATGAACTATAAATGAAAATCCCCTAATCACCGGAAGTAGTCAAGAAAGGTATCCAAACTTTGACAAAATTGAGAAAAATGGGTGTCTGTGCGGAAAATGCGATGTATCAACAGTGTTCTTGTCGTTTAGTTAAAATTTTATATCGTTTAATAGCCAATTGAATTGTCTATCAGATGGTACTTCAGCGACAAGTTTCTATTAAAAAAAAAAAAGTTATATGACTTTGAAAAGTAAGGTATTTTGCGATTTCGAGCAACTTTAGACGCATGTTTCTCGGAAACGCCCCCAACGATTTTTTTAAAACTTTCTCAATCGAGAGATAACTGGGTACTCTGTTTTGTGAAAACACTGTATCATTTTTTGAAAAGTCAGGGGTAGCCTGAGCATTTTTAGAGGTCTATTTCTCGAAAAGTTAACATAGTATTTTTTTGGAACTTCTTCTACAGAGAGGACTATCAGTAGTGTTATATATAAAACCATTGTACAACAGTTCCAAATTTCAGGAGTAGCAGAACAAAGGGATCGAAAATTGAACACGGCACCTTTCATTGTTAAGCGAAACATAAGAGGGGGATACAATCTGTACGTTTTGTCAACGTATAGAGCCAATTCAAGAGTGCTTTTATCAGTGATGATATTTGAACTAAAATATTTCAACTATGAGTGTTTTCTTCTATCCAATATATGGGTTTAGTGACCCTGTAACAGAAATAGTTGATAGCTGTGTGTAATAATTAATAGTTAGTCTTTGAATTGATATTGTTGCTTCTTTGTCAAAATTATCTTATACCCGTAATCATCTGGATAGAAATCGACGGCTCGCGCTGTTTATAAGAAAGTCGAATTTGTTAAGTAGTTGCAGTAGTATCGTACAGAAGTATCGAATATTGTACTTGTGATAAAAGGCGTGACGCTGTTTGAGCATGGACGCTATCTGTAATTAATAATAAAGTTTTATTAGTGACGTCAAATCTTTAACGTGCACGAAACCAGAAAATTGGCGATATTTCATTGAATATTCAATCAATTTTTGAACCAGTTACATATTTGAGTAGCTGACATGAACGCGATTCCGAAGTCCCGTGTAAACATTGGTGTGACCGTAAAAGATCCCTTGGCGGTTGGAATTCTATATAAAAGAAGACTAGCGCCGCTGTACGAGCATGTTTAGAGGTCATTTCGGGACTAACATATGGTTCATTATTTTAATAATTCGCTTGCGCGTAGGGGTCATTAGCAGTGGGAGGAAATCGGAGGAACCGGAGAAACCCCACGAGGTTGGACAGGCGACCCTACTCTTTGACACGTACAACCGGGGAATGGAAACCCCGCCAGTTGGCTCAATGACAGGCCGTATGATACAGCGCAGTCCCAAAGGATAGCCTACCGTGCAAATTCCAGCCAGCATAATGAATCTATATAAGAAACATTTATTCCTACTGGCGATTTACAAACAGTGCCCAAGGTTAGCCTACCGTGTAATTTCCAGCCAGCATAATGTATCTATATAAGAGACATTTATTCCTACTGGCGATTTAGAAATATTGCATGAAGAAATTCAAATCAGAAGAACAGAAACGCAACTAATGCACAGTATCATATTGATTATAAAAGTACAATGTATATATTGGTTACACTATATATGTCAAAAAACAACAATCATTAGATAATAATAATTATTTACTAATTATATAAATCATTTTAAGAGGTAGGAGTTATCCGTTGTTTAATTTAACAGTTATATAATTACTTTTCTCGGAAAAGCCGCCAATGATTTTTTTCAAACTTGCTCAATCGAGATTCTACTGGGTAGTGTATTGTGTGAAACCCTTGTACAATTTTTCTAATTATCATGGGTAGCCGAAAAAAGAGATGTGTTAGAGTGTGTTTTTTTGTTGTTTTTTATTTGGGGGGGGGGGGGGAGTGGTGGGGATAGTCTTTTGTCATATATCTGGCGATCGTGTGACGCCGTTGCGACCGTGAAAGCCTTCGGCATTGCGCGCAATTCTAGTAGGCAATTGGTTTTACCAAAAACCAATTACAAAACGCTTTATACGTTTAACTAAAATGGGGGAGCCTAAATCTCAGAAACTATTTGAACGAATGTTTTGAAACTCTGGAATTCAGTTATGTGTTTGATGTATTAGTGCTTAAATATAAAACGATATTTCCAAACGGTCCGGCTTTTGTAGAATCCTTTACGTGCACAAAAATTAAAAATGGGCCATAATTCTGTTAATTCTTAACCGATTTTCCAGAGAGTCGCATTTTTGGATAACCGGAGACATTGCTCAGGAGTATGGTGGCCCATGGTTATCATTGAAAAATGCGTAAAATATCCACCGCAAATGTTAAAAATTTGAATGAAAATAAAAATTCGCTAAAAAAAAAAAAATAAATAAATAAAACCAAAATAAAATAAATAAAACTTTATCGAAAATGAAATAAAAAATAATTTAAATTCAATTAGATCTAAATTAAAATCGTTTTTGATAATTTGAAAAAAAAAACCAAAGTAAAATAAATTTAAATAAAAAAAAAATAAATAAAAAATATTTTTTTTTTTTAAAAAAAAAAAGAAGTTTTAAAACTTAATTGAAAAAAAAAAAATATATTTTTTTTTTTGTTAAATCGAAAAGTGAAATGAAAACTAAAATACGCATGTCTCTACGTGGCCCATCGTTATCATCAGCCCATCGTTATCATTCAAACCGAATTGTAATCGAACGCGCCTCTAATTTGTCAAGCAGGGGGGAATAACTCTAATCATGATAGTGTGATATTTTACATCCAGTGATTCGGATGTATTGTATAGGGGAACAAGAATGAACTGTCAATGAATATCATAACTTCGACATAAGTCTCTCTATACTCTATCCATTTAACTTGATTACAGGCCTGCTCACTAATTAGTTTGATAGTCATTTTTACCATGTTGTGTCCGACATATACATGTACGTGGAAGGAAGATGAACTATTAAAGTCAAGTCTTCACGACTATGTTTTGCAAAATTTATCTAGATCTGAAATCTTGGATTACATGAAACGCGACTTCGATCAGTACACATGGAGCCTTCCAACTCTTAGCCGTCGGCTAGCCTACTTCGGTATAAAATATGTCAACTATCAGGTTGGAATAGACCATGTTGTAGCTGCCATTGAAGAAGAACTGCAAGGTCCAGGGAAACTACTTGGATATAGACTGCTGCATAAAAAAATCCGAGTTAACCATAAATTAGCAGTTCCAAGGCAGCTCGTATACGATATTTTAACTTCAAAACATGATGATCTGCTTGAGAAAAGAGCACCGAAAATAAAAAGAAGAAAAAGGGGCGATATTGGAACATTTACGTCATTGGTAAGTTTTTAGTCATATCGTAATAATCTAATGAAAATTTCTGAGCGCTATATGTGGATGGGTATTATTTTATAATTAGACTAAGAGCTGTCAAAGACTGTATTATTCAATCTAATTTATAATTTAACCTGCTAAAGGCTAAGATCGGGCAGTGATAGTTTGGACATTTTAGCATGTTAAAAGCACGTTTGTCTTCGTACCCTTACATTGGCAGTGCGCGTCTGTACTAAATTGATTTAAAATGACATGGAAGCAACTTGAAAGAGATATTTTGGTGGATGGCCGAATGGTTAACGTGTGCGCGCTGTATCATACGGCCTGCCATTGGGTCAACTGGCGTGGTTTCGAATCCCCGGTTGTACGTGGCAAGGAGGAGGGTCGCCTGTCCAATCTCGTGGGTTTTCTCCGGTTTCATCCCACTACTAAAGATCCCTACCAAAGGTGAATTATTTCAATGTCTCCCTTTTTATATTATTTTAGAACATTACAATTTATGTAACATTTTTTCAGGGTCCAAACCATACATACTCTGCAGATGGTCATGACAAGTTAATGGGGTTTCAGAGGAAAATGTTCCCATTTGCTATATATGGTGTCCAAGATGTTTACAGCTGTAAGCTTTTGTATGTTAAAGTAGGAAAAACAAATAAAAATCCCAAGATTATTGGGAAATGGTATCATGAATTCATTAGCAGAACTGGAGGTAATTAGTAAATACATAATTTTAGTATTCAATTGGTGTTATCATAGGCATACGTGGCAATTTTTTACTTGGGGGGGGGGGGGGCAGTGGTGGTAGGTGCCCAAAAACTGTAGTTAGGTTCTTAGTATGTTACATAATAATAATAATAATAATGACAGGTTCTACAATATCTCTTTTACGATGAATAAGTTCTTAATTTCTAAATCATCAATATAAGAGAACTAAATTTTATTTACTTGTAATTTACACAACTAAAAACAGTTGTTTGTGTAACTGTAACTCGTGGCTTACTGTACTCCAAACAATAGAGGGTTCAAGTCTTAAGATTTCTATTTAATTGCCTAACTATAGACACTCTGAATTTAAATTCTCTGTTAAATTGGACACATTCAAGAACAATATTTTTTTATACAACTTTTACAAAGTATCACCCCCCACCCCCCAGCTCGTACACCTATGGGTGTTATTTGTCCTACAGATAATCTGCATTAAAAAAATTTGAACCCTTACTCACTGATCTACTTTTGAATTTTGAAAGAAAATTTAATCTCATATTTAATTTTTCAAATTTGCACATCATCTGATAACTCATGTCCTACTGTATACTGAGATACAGTCTTTACAGATTTATAGGCTTAGGATCTAATATGAATCGTGTGCAAGCCACCTTTGACATGGATATTTTTTTATTTTTGGGGGAGGAAAGTGGAAGAAGGGCAGTCACTACTTAGCTCAAAACAGGTAATAAGTGTCTAAAAAGTTTATGGTAAATCAAAAAAGTATATTTGAGAGAATATTAAATTAAGATCATTTAACAATAATCTGCCTTTTTTCCTTTCCAGTGATAAGTCAGATTTTGCGCCTGGACAAAGGATCAGAAAACGGTCACATGGCAACTATCCATGCCTATTTGCAGAGTACTGAATTTGAAAATCCAGAAGATTCTGTTATATTTGGATCTTCAACATCCAACAAGGTGTGGTAGGATTTCTATATAATTGGTTTAAGTTGTAACCATTCAAAATCTCTCTCTGGCCAATGCTGGAATAGCGTCTGTTTCTTGAACAGTTGGTCATAACTGTCATCTTGTAAAAATATAATTAATCATATCTTACAGGGTCCAGTTTTTAAGATATGACATTAGAGTCGTCAGTTACGTAGGGACAGTATGTGGGGGGGGGGGAGTTGTTATTATAGAGATGTTTTCTAGCAAAAGGCATAAATTATTTAAACAACTGACCCTTTACCTACACGGAACTGGTTAATTTACAACATTTGTTGAATGTGAGTTATCAAAATCTAAACCTCCATGGTTGCATATTGGGATGCCTTGTTTTAAACATTTTGGTTAACAGTCATTTGCTTACATTGATAAGTATTATCTCATTATAATTTTAGATAGAAAGATGGTGGCGTGAACTTCACTCTCGTCTTGTTAAGTACTTTAAGGAAAAATTCCAGTATTTATTCGATCAGGGTTATTACAACCCTGATGAGATTACAGACAGGTAAGTCGAATTCAAATTATGTACAAAAGACAAGAAAAAGAATTATGGTATAAAATCAAACATATTAGCTGCTTTACTCCTCTAAATTCAAATGATATAGAATTATTATCATTATTAATAAGATATAAGCACTTATGTGGTACATATGTTCTATATCTTCAGAGAAATACTTGCACTAGTTTATTTACCACTGGTTCAAGAGGAAATCAATAAGTTTGTAGAACTCTGGAATAACCATCGCATGAGGAAACAAAACAGTGATCTGCCCAAAGGAATTCCCAACCACCTGTATGACTTTCCAGAAACATATGGCTCTACTGAATGTGGTATGTATACATTATACCAATGTCATATCCCTCATGAATGAATGAGAATCAATGTCTGGTTTTCATATACTTTCAATATACTACACAATGTCTCACATATGACCATTAAACAGCTTAAAATACACCATGCATGTCCAATATTTCTTCGTTTATAAATAATGTACAACTACCATGTTGCCAGTTTCACCATCAAGGCTCCTATATATGAAAGTCAAAGATTCCAGTATTATTTGCATATGTTGCAGTTGCCATGCCCCGAGTTAGCAAGTTTTTATATTGTGTTTTCAGGATCAAGAGTGTCTGAAGCAGAGTTAGAGGATGTAAAAAACTTAGCTGATGTATTAGATGATGGCGCTTTTGTTGACAAAGAGTTAGAAAGGCGAAGCAAGGAACTATTGCCCAATCTATCAGAATTGGAATTAACTGATGCTCTTGAAGCTTATTTGTATATCTGAAATCATCAATGTGAAATTATAGGTTATTCATTGAGGTGTTACATTCATCAGTTCCAATGAATATAACCAAAACTCCACTGTTCTTGATATTGCAATCATTATTTTGAAGACCCTGGCTAGGATGATTCTTATTTTAGATTAGACTTATTTTAGGTTAGCTTGCTTTGCCGACACCAGTATGCATAGCCCAACTTGTAGACATGGTTTTTGTAGCGTACATGTACAATTCAGTTACAATTCAAATAAAGAATAACATGACTATGTAGTGAATTTTGTTATATCTACAAGCAATTGGTTGGACATTATTAGTCAGGAGTCCTAGAATTCAGTCATCCACTAAGAAATGAATAGATGCAATGAAATGAAAGGTGGTTCAATGTCCTACTCCGACTGGGCTAATGAAGATGGGCATATGCCATACAGTGTGCCTTTAGATCTTAAGGTATGCCATTGAGTTAAGTGACTTGGTTTCAATCCCACACAGGGGGGTTGGATGGCTGAATGTTTAGCCCGTGCGCTATATCACAAGGCCTGTCATTGAGTGAACTGGTGTGGTTTTGAATTGCCGGAGTAGGGTAGTTTTTCCAACCTCATGGGTTTTTTCTCTGGGTCCTCCGACTGCTAAAGACCCCTAAGTGCAAGCAAAGTATTGAAATAAAATTAAAACCATATGTTAGTCCCGAAATGACCTAGTTTGTGCCGAGGGTGATTGGGTGTTAAACCCCAATTCTCTCTCTCTCTCAATCGCACACAAACTACATGGAAGCGAATAATTGAGAAATTGTTGTACCATATGTTAGTTGCCAAATGACCTTGTTTGTGTTAAACTCCATCTCTTTTCCACTCTGTAGTATAAGTAGGCTTTTGTTTACCAAGACACCAGTATTCAAATAACTGTGAGCCCAACAAATGGCCGATTCAATCAATTTCTTTTTTTTTTATAAACAATATTTTATTCAGAATGTCTGAATGGGATTGGGGAACAGGCTTGGCCTATGTAAAACCCCTCTCAATTTCAAGTTGTATAAGACATCAGAATGGGAAAATCTGGGTGCTCAAATACAAGTAGTTAGCCTATTACCACCACTGATATTATTGAAAATCCATATGAATAATCAGACAAGTGAATGTCTATATACTAATAACTTTGGAAATAAAACAAGTATTCAAGATACAAGAGATACATTTACATGATTATATTAATTTATTAAACAACACATAATATAATAATTTATTCAAGATAAAATATACAAACAAATGTTTTAACAGACTACTTTATCTGAGATGAGAAGTCTTAAATTCAAGTCTTCTGGAGATATATTTAAGGCTTGCTTTAAATTTAAATAACTCCCTGATGCCAGAGCTCAGACTAATTGGAGCTGAACATTAAACAATATTAAAACTCTTCCCACTAAACATTTTTAGAAGTAAATATGAGATTAAAATATCAGTTAGGTCATAATGCAATAAACCTGCACAGCAAACAAATGATACCTTCAGAAATATCATTCATATTCACTTGAAGAATCTTCAGCAGAAATTAACTTTTCTTTATCGATCATTATTTGACAGTATTTATTGCATCTATGTTCACATAAAAAAGTTTCAATGCCAGTAATAGATAAATTTCCACAACAAAACATTATTTGATTCGAGTCAGTATCTATCAATTCTGTTGTACAGATTTCTGGGTCAAACAGGGTATATCCACTACCCTGTATATCCAGAACCATTAATTTCTTATCAAACTTTTCGTATGTATAATGAACAAAACACTGAGCTTTTAAAAAAATCTCCTTGTCTTTAATAGTAGCCATATCTGAAAGTGGTACAATAACTCCATTATTGTTTATCCATTTTTTAAATTGTCCATCAACATACTCCTCAATCGTGTATGGTGTAGTGTTTATTTTACAAAAATAGACATTATTGTAAGTAAAGGATTCTCCAAATTCTTGACTAATTTTTGAGTTGAAAGCCTTGGTTATTTGTGATGCAGCTGTATGCATTTGTACTTGTTTCCTGGTTATATCCTCCAAACTTGAATCTAGTTTTTCAAGAATAGTTTTTACAGTTGCTTGATTAAACTTTTTAAGAACCCACTTTGAATGGTCTTTTATTTTTTCCACCATATAAGCTTCACGAAAGCCCCCAGAAGCAAAACTTTCCTGTTCAATTAGAACTTCGCCAGACATTTCTATCTTCCAAACTTTATCATGAATGTTAAAACTTTCAAAATCTAAGACGCATTTAGACTTTTTAACAGGTTGAATCAGCTTTCCAGCATTAAGAATGCTTTCAACAGATACAGAAACAGGGTACGATGGCTTATCAAAACCATTTTCACTTTCAGTAGATTTAACAGATCGTTTCTTACTAGGTGGTGACGAGATGGAATCATTGAGAAAGTTATACTGTTGTGAAGATGATGCAGAAACTGTACTGGTGACTCTATGTCTACTGTAATTAGCAGAATCTTCATTCTCGCTGTCAATCACAAAACGAACTAAATATACCTGAAATGAAAATGTGGATATTATTAAATATACTCAGTTACTATCAAGTCTATAAATAAGCTCTGAATGGAAAATCAAGGTTTTTAATCAAATTTATTTAACAACAAAGGACACTGCATACCAACTTTCTTAAAAGTTAAGAAAATACCCCACATACAATTTATAGCAGCAGAATATCTTTGCAGAAAAATTACCAGATTTACACTTACAGATATTCTTCCTGAAAGTCAACTGGTAATCCTTGACTGTTAATGCATTCACACACTGCCCATTGTGTGTGGGGGTGGGGTGGGTGGCCTTATTATCTCATTTAGGCCTATGTCTTACAGGCATTAGAAAGAGAATGCCTGGCATTTGATTGCGTAGACCTCAACATACAAATCCCCCCAGTTTCGGCAGTAGGCCTACTGGGGACTGAAAACTGAAACAATTTAAACAAAAAGACAAAACAAATGCACCTTGATTTGTAGGTCTAAATAGTCTTAACTATCGAAATATCTTTTTTAGCCTATTACGTATTAATTAATATTGGCAGATTCTAATACTCATAGGCCTGTTTTGTTTTAGTTCTACATTGGTGTAACAAATTTAAATTACAAATATCAAATTGTGGCCTTGCCTTAGCCTTAGGCCCTAACCTACCTTATCTTTTCTCATAGGTATCTGGTTAATATTGGTGCAGCTTGGCCCTTTATTTGACACTAGAACATCGCAATTCTTTGCAGGCAGGTTAAAATGATGAGAGCATGCAGATTTTAAAGTTTTTACTGTTATTTCTGGATAGTCAAATGACACAAACTCCCTCGGTTGAACTGGTTTGTATGTTTGCTTGTTATCCGGTTCAGAGGATAGTCGCTGAACGACAATTTCCCTTGGTGGTACCGTGCCGTTTGAAGGCTCTTGTTAGACATCTTCTTTTTGAGGCGCGCCCAGATTTCATTTTTTCGATCCATTCCAATTCTCGTTTCAGCGCGTTCGATTACAGTTCCGGTTGAATGATAACGATGGGCTGATGATAACGATGGGCCACGTAGAGACATGCGTATTTTAGTTTTCATTTCACTTTTCGATTTAACAAAAAAAAAAAATATATTTTTTTTTTCAATTAAGTTTTAAAACTTCTTTTTTTAAAAAAAAAAAAAAAAAAAAAATATTTTTGATTTATTTTTTTTAATTTAAATTTATTTTACTTTGGGTTTTTTTTTTAAATTATCAAAAACGATTTTAATTTAGATCTAATTGAATTTAAATTATTTTTTATTTCATTTTCGATTAAGTTTTATTTATTTTATTTTGGTTTTATTTATTTATTTATTTTTTTTAGCGAATTTTTATTATAATTTTTAACATTTGCGGTGGATATTTTACGCATTTTTCGATGATAACCATGGGCCACCATACAGGAGATAGCAGTTCATAAAGGTCGAATTTAGAAACTTTGTCGCTATCATTTTTTTGGTGAAAATTGAAAAAATTTCAAATTTTTTCTAAAATCTTTATTTTTTTTAATTTTTAGCTTATAATTACATTTTTGGATAGCTGGCGTCTATCCGATTCCAACGATATCAATTCTTTTCTGAAATGTTAAATTTGATTTTTAACTTTTTTTCGCATATTCGTCAAATCGTAGAGTTCTTATTTTTTTAAAACGACACCTACGATACTTCTGAAACTTCGGGACTATGAAGTCGAAGGATCAAACCAGTCCATGAACTATAAAAGAAAATCCTCTAATCACCGGAAGTGGTCAAGAAAGGTATTCAAACTTTGACAAAATTCTGAAAAATGGGTGCCTGTGCACAAAATGCGATGTATCAATTAGTTGCTTACCGTGTACTTAAAGCATTATGTCGTATGATTTTCACGAGAATTATCTACGAGATGGTGCTATAGCAACAAGATTTTATTGCCAACTAAAACATTTGTGGGGCATTGAAATGTAAGGTTATTTACGATTTCGATCAAGTTTAAACACATGTTTCTCGGAAAAACCGCAAACTATTTTGTTCAAACTTGCACAATTGAGAGTCTACTGGGCAGTGTATTGTGTGAAACCCTTCTACAATTTATCTAATTGTCATGGGTAGCCGAAAAAAGAGATTGAAAATTGAAAACAGCGTATTTTTACGAGTTGGGGCATATTTAGGGGTCAATATCTTTGTGTGTTTTTTCGGTAGTGGGGTGGAGTGGTGGGGATAGTCTTTTGTAATGTATCTGGCGACCGTGTGACGCCTTGGCTACGGTGAAAGCCTTCAGCATTGCACGCAATTCTAGTTAGGCTTTCACCTTCGGTGAAAGACTATTGTTATTACTAAGATTAATATTATTAAGCTTTCATATTACATATGAAAGCTTATTGTTTCTGTTAAGATTATTATTGTTATTTTTTTTTTTGTGTTTTGTCCACAAATCGGATTTCTCAGAATCTAACCATAGGATCGTTCTGAAACTTTTACCTATCCCCCC